ATAAACAGACCCCTCGTGACCCCTGTTTTCGAGGCCCGAAAGGAGGCCTCCCCAAAACCCCTCTTGCCGTTGTTTCTGGCCCGAGAAACACGGCCAAATTTGACCACTTTTGAGGAAGCTTTCGTAACTTTCTTGTCCGGAGGACCCTGGCATTTGGAAAGTGCAATATGGCAAGCACGGCTGGCAGCAGCGCAAAGGCTCCTATACCTGCAGGGAACACCTACACCATGAATGCTACAACTAACTACTAAAAACAAGGGAGACAACACAATAAGCGCAAAGTCTACGTCAACGTGAGGCGCTTTCCTTTCTACCAGCCTTGCTGCCTGAAACCTGAAGATGGGAGGTCAAAATTGGAGAAACAGACTCCCAATAGTGCTGATGATGCTGGCCTCCCTGGCCAGCATCATCAGCATCATTGCGGTCCTGTTTCTCCTTTTGCCAGGCTTCTAGCTGCCTGTGCCCATTGGGCCAGGCCTGATGGGGTTCCTGAATGTTGGATGTTGGAACCATGGAGGCTATCATGGGGCTATTGACGGATGGGGTGATGGGTTGCAGGTATGTATGGTGGTTTTATGCAGGTTTTCTACGGCTTTTATACTGGTTCTATGATGGTTTTATGCGGTTTGCGTGTGGGTTTTCGCAGTCCTGCCGCCCCCTGCCCACGCAGCCATCATGTGAAAGCCAAGCCATGCTGATGCTCCTGATTCAGAGAAGTGTACGAAAAACTTATGTTATTGCTGTCCACAGCACCCCTCAAGAAATGCATCATGAGCACGGACGTTTTTTGAACTAGCCCCCGAGGCCCATTTTGCCCCAGCATCAATTTTTGCAGGTTGGAGGGGTTGCTGGAAGTCCTCAGATTGGAGAAACAAGCCCCATGATGCTGATGATGCTAGCCCCCTCAGCATCATCAGCATCATTGGGGGCGCATTTCTCGCAGGGAGTGGGGTTGGCCTTGCCTGCGTTGCCCGCTCTTGGGCGCAGCCCCTCAAATTAAACCTTCCAGCGCGCGACCTTCTGATTTGGGAATGCTGAGAGTGCCTGGGAAGGTGCTGCTCGGAGACTGTCTCGGAGGATGAGGCAGCAGATTCTGTGCTTGTGAAATGGTGAACAAAACGAAGGATGTTCAGTGCCTCTCGCAGAGCGATGTGGCAGCAAGCACAGGACTTGCAAGGTTCCACCAGTGCTGCACAAACACGTGTGCTGCTGCTCGATGATTCGGACTGCTCATGAAGTCCACATAACTGATACAGGAAATCTGTCAGTTGGTCCTTTGCGTTCACATCCTTGCCATGTGAGTTTTTGGCCTCCGCTGCAATTACCACATACAATAGGCTGCCAACGAAGTCCTGGACGACACGAAGTACATCTCGTATGCCCAGCTTGTCTCTTACAGCGCGACAAGCTGGCGCCAAGTCATAGCCCTGGCCCTCAATACTGGATGCCCAGTCCAAAACAGAACGGACAGTCTCCACCAGCTCCTCATGGCGGTCTCCACTCCGACCTGCCAGGACAGAATTAGGACAATATGGATAGTCTCAGAGCCTCAGGGGTAGGGCAATATGGATAGGCTTACCATGGCTTCGCGGCATTTCTTTGCCTCCAGTTGCACTCCGGCTGCTGACATCCCACTGGTTCAGCAGCTCAGCCTGTGGCAAACCCTCACCTCATTCACAACCAACGGAATAGCTGCAAATGAAGTGGTGCCTGTGCTGCCAACGTCCGGCAGGCACCCGCGGCTGGATCCGTGAAGCCCGGGAGTGTTAGGGGCAAAGCCATGGCCCACGGTTCTTTGGCTCCAAGACAACTTGATGCCGAGCAGGAAATGTGCCCACTTAAAAAGCAGCTGAGCTTGTGCATTCTTTGGTAGGACAAGCAGTCCTCTCTGAAGAACATGTTCCAGAACAGCGGACTGCAAGGACACTCGAATGACTTGCGTAACTCCTATAGGACTAACCAACGTGGAGAGGCCCTTTAGGCCATGAATAAGCTGCTGCATGGGCTCAAGCTCGAAGAGTTGGATCTGGGAAGCTCTGGCTCATGCATTCCACATCTACACTTGTGACTGCAGGGTTTCAAGATTTTGAAATCCCTCCCCCATCCAGGCACCACACCAGCATCGCTTTCTTCTGCTGCCGGTCATCCAGGGTAAGGCTTGCTGATCTCCTGAAGGCCTTGACCTCGTGAACACTCGGGGCGGGAGTCATCTTTTGTGCTGTGCACAGCATTACAAATACAAGTCACATCTACATGTACTTATCAGAACAATTCCCCGCGCTTTGCCGCGCGACAACCCACGGATTCCTAAGTTCAAAGGTGGCAGCGGTCAGTGGGCCGATCCGACCATGCTCTGTGGTTGCTGCATACCATTAAAAGAACTAGAGAAGGGAATGTACTGAGATACTCTGAAACAAACTATAAACTACTAGAATGCACCAGAACGATCATGTACGACACTGCTTTAAATCATATGGGTTATTCTCAAAATTATGGGCCCCTTTGGAATCATTGGTCATAGATCGTATAGCTGCACCTAATACTTAAGGGTACCAAAATGGTTCCCTAATTTGGGGAACTACCCATATGTAAGCTCTTAGACTCCTGGGTGATGGGCAAGCTCTTCCTTGGAGCTCCGGTCCTTGCTGAAGATGCGAGCCAAGCCCTGGGCAGTAAGTTCTCCTAAGCTTCGCTTGCATCAAAAAAACAATAATGAATGATAGCCATGCTGACAATAACAAATACTAGTAACAGTAGTATTGATAGCAGGAATAATAATGACAGTGATTAATATAACAGGAGGAGAATACGATCAATACGAATTAACGAGCTAAGTTTGAGTTCTCATATAAGCTATAGTCTAAACTCCTGAGATCCCCCTTAATATCCCCTATAGCAGGCCCCTATATGATCCGCCATAGAAACCCCTTTAGGGAGCTTAGATTATGGCTCACATACAGAACGAACCCAGAAGCCCGGGCCTTGGAAGGCTTCCGAGCCGACTCCAGACGCCTCAGTGAGAATATTTCGTCGCCTTACAGGGGTCAACTGCTGGATTATTGGGGGAAAAATACTAAACAATCGGGGGAAAAATAGTTTTCCCCCAATTGTTTAGCAACTGCTGGATTAGTGATTTTAAATTAAATGTGTTTGATCATGTTTACGTATTACTGCTCTTCCAATTGTTCTTACTAGTCTTACTCTTACAGTTGCTACTATTCTCAAGATTCAAATCTACAAGCTTTCACTAAGGTGACCATTAAGAGAATGAGTTGAAAAAAGGCCTGACTGTCTCCAAGTAGCGAACCATGTGACCAACAAGATGTGTGTTTGTGCGCTGCCCCTGCTTGCATTGTCTGACTGTTGGCCCATTTGGTTCCCTACCGCTCATGATGGACCTAGCTTGGACACATCACTTCTGCTACCTCTGTCAACAGCACACTAGGCGAAGCTGTGTCTGGGTGCAACTCCCTAGCCAGAGCGACCACAGGGAGAAGGAGTAGACCTGGGAGAGTGACAGCAATCATCACACACTTCATGCTGAACGAGATCGCGCACTGCCATCAAACATATCCACTTCCTTACAATACCGAGGGGCATGAGCTGCCAGGAGCAACACACCCAGCGCAGCCAGCAGGATGCCACCACGAGAATCTGCATCTTCCGCCACCTCGCCCGCAAGACTTTGTGTTTCCATCGCGACAAGCCGAAACTCCCCTGCCCACCTCCATGCCAGTGCTTGATGAGCCACCTGGGTAGTATGTCGCAGACAACATGTCTGAGCTTACTTCCAAAGGGCCCGACCAATAAAGCACACCGCCCAGTGATGGGCGTAGAACAGCCAGAAGAAGTGCACCTTGGTCATGGTGCGAAAATCTTTCGTTGAAATTGCTAGGTCAACATACTCAACTTGGCGGATGGGGTCCACGTGACTGCCTCGTATCACCACTGACCGACGAGGGCTCAAAACTGTGAAGAGAGGGGAAGGGGAAGGAATGGAGGAAATGAAAGAGAGGACGATGTGCCTCCGAAAAGCTTGTATCACTCTGTTTGGAGTCCCTGCAGTATCTCTAACAAACCCAATCCTGATAGGTACAGTAGGGCAATAGGTGGTCCCGGGCTGCTTTTTTCCTCTGAGCCTGCGACTTGTGAGAAGGTGGAGGCGGCCATGGCCACACCAACAACAATCGCAACCAAAGAGCCGGGAAGAGCAGACCTTGATCTCAGAAAGTGCTCTTTAGATTTATGGTTCTTATGGTCTTAGAAGACCACATACTATCAAAAGTAAGAATATCGGTGCTGTTCATCAAAAAGATTAATGTTCAAATTCAAAAGCGGTGGCTGCGTCATATACGAGTATCAGTAGCCTAACCTTAAAGACTTAAAGCCATCCAAAACCTGGCTCAAGAACATGTGAAATTCACAGGATGCTGTGAGACAATCGTCTGTCACTCTAAGACACCGGCCATGGGATGTGAGGGAAGAACATCCGCTGCCAGACAGACAGGACACCCCTGCAAATATGCCAAAGCCCAGCATGACTCCTACAGGCTAAGACGGGTGAAAGTGAAGTCAGGGTCTGGCATGCAAGGATCCGAATGAAACGAAAATCCTTCTCAGAATGTGATCTTGCTGTCAGTTCGTATGTTGAAGCAACTTGGCTACTTGCTTAGGATCTAGGAGTTGAAACATGGCGGGTCTGCGAAATGAGCTCTCTGGACACGGAGAAGCAAACCAGGAGCACGAGCCCCAGGCACCACGACAAGGCCTCAACCAGGCTTCAGGTTCCTCAGAAACTTCTGCTGGGCTCAAGTGACACGATCAAAAACTGCAACAATGGTCGGCGGGCCAAACAACAACAATTACCCTGACATTTGAAAACACTGATAGGACGCACACCGGAACGCCCACCGGCATCCCAACAAAGAGCAGCTGGAAAAGGTGAGTCAGGAAGAGAACCTGGGCACAGCAAGGAGCTTAACCTTTGTGCAGGAAACGTCCTAGAGATATAGCGTCAGCATGGGCTTTCCGTACGAGATCCTATCAGAATGGTCCTCGAAAAGTAAAGCACCAAGGGCCCTGACAATCTCCAAAGGAAGCACCACAGCTTCTGACCTAAACTGTGGGTTGTCCCTTTTTCGAACAACTGCCAGGACTCGATGGCCGGCCTCAAACTGAGCTAACTACCGGTACTGCCAGATGGCTCCGGAGCCTGGCAAGATGAACATGGATCTGAGGCAGGGGGGATGCTGAAGTCACAGGCTCCTGGTGGAAAGACCCTTCTAGGTCAACAAATCTTGCAGCAGTTGCAGCGGTCCTGTGTGGGACACGATCTGGGACGCGTGGAAGAGGTACCGGCAGAAGGAGGCATGTGTGGAAGCCTGCAGAGCTCACAGGCAATTCCGCCTTGCGTTCCATGGCCGTGTCCTGAGGCCCTGAGGCTCTGAGGCTCTGGCATCCTGAGCTTGGGAACATGCGCAATTCGGGCGTCGTAGCAGAACTGCGAAGAGAAGACTTTGTGCCTGGACTTGCAAGACAGGGCAGCTTTCGGATCAACAGCAAACAGACCCTGAGAGCGACGCCAAGTGGAGAATGAAAGGGCTGAAACCCCTATCGTCAAGCAACGCAAGTAGCAGCACCTGAACAATTAATTGTCACTTTAGCAAGTTGCTATGCAACACATCGGCGCCCATGAGTGAATGACAACAAATGAAACACAACTTAAATTTAACCTACCTGTACCAAGCTTGCATCTTAGTCCTCGTATTTGGACCTCCTATCACCATTAACTACCCTCTGCATGCTCTGTGCCCCTTGCCGCCAGGGAAGTGTTGAATCGAACGTGCTCAACGCACATTCGAAACCTGAGGGTGTACAGCTAGCAGAAAAAGGTTAGGGCGATGCTGATGCTGAAGGTGAAGGTGATGCCTATGATTACGCATTGGAAGTACAACAGCTAAGTTCAGTCATGCCTGGTCACAAGACCAGAGCGAAAAGGATGCTCACACATACTCGAAGCTACAAGTATATCTTTAGCTGCAAATGATTGATGCATCCAGCACCAGAATGTTTGCAGTTCGGCATGATTTTGGCACTCAATTGACAGTCAATTGAGCTTGCCACATCAATGCCAGAAGCCAGTTGGTCTCAGCAGTGTACTCGCCTGAGCTGCCACAAAATGACTCATCAAAACAAGCGACCGTCCCGTGTCTCTGAGATATCGACACTTCGCTTCTATCTGGGGCCCTGAAAGCCACACTCATGCAGCTACTGCAGTCCAATACATCCCACAGAGATGCAAGGGGGGCCTATCAGGCGCTCGGCTGCTGCTGACCTCAGCAGTCGGTGAACACTTTCGACAGAAAAAAACACACGATATCAACATCTGACCAGTGGTGCTGATTTTGGCTGTATCTTCAGCTGCCGAGGAGCAACACCAGCAAAAAAGACGGAGTGAAGGCAGATAGCCAAAAACCTTGGTTCTTGCAGTTCTGCCAGAAAACATTT